TGCGCGCGGCCATTTTGGGCCATTTCTGGGCTTCCGGCGGCCATTTTGGCCGCCGAACAGCTGATCGTCGGGCTTCGTTTTGTGAAGATCGGTAAGCGAAACACTTACCGGTCTTCGCAAAGCGAATTTTGCCCTATTAAAAAAACGTTGAGCGATCGCATTAGCGATCCCAAAAAAGGGATCGCTATGCGATTTCGTCATTGTACGGTTAAGCGAGGCACCACTGTATTCTGTGAAGAGTTAATATTTCTGCGCAAACAATTGATTTATCTAGTCAAAATAAGCCGACATAGGACTAGCATTAAGATATGTGGAAGCTCTTTCCAATGCACACTCCATTCATATTTCAATCTGCAGAGCTCAGTATTTATTTGTGTATACACACAGACACAAAGTCATCACTACACCACCCACATACAGCTGTGATTTTTTCTTTCTTTAGTGCAGACAAGTTTTAACATGCAGTACTGCTTTTCCATCTTCAGGTTGCCACAAATCAAATTTTACTATCTTCACAACTGGTGAAATTAAACAGAGCTTGTCATTATTTATGGTGAGCTTTGTAAGTAATGCTAAAATAACACTTCGCTACGTGAAACTTTAAAAACAAGAACAAAAAAATAGGTCATGACAAGCTATACTTTCTACATGCCAAAATATTTCTAAATCAAACACTTCTCCTTTAATTAATATTAATATAAATTGGTATAAAATTACTTGATCCAGCATTCTGTACACTTCACACACTCCTTTATTGAACAGAAAAAATATTATACATCTCATGCTTAGCCAATGTAAATATATTTGGTAATGAAGTCAGATTTTGTTAGAACATTTTCAAGTGAATTAAATAATTTTTGTCAAACTTTTTAAACGTCTTAGCAAACCATTTGGGAAAACTGAGCGCTGCACTTGTTATTGACATTGGCAAAGAATAGTATAACAAGGGCTTTTTTTGTTTGAAAAAGGCTTTAAATCAAAATCTTAGTCTTTCTGTCAAACGTGAGTAGACTTCTTGTACTCTGCTTGTAGTTTTTGGCTTCCCTCAAATATGATGACTCAGTCATGATGGTTTTCGATAGCAATCATTATGGTCCACCCCAAAGTCTTAGACCCCGGAATTCAACCTTGTCATCACATAGATTCACAGTGTGAAATTGGTAAATATGGAGGCTGAGATAGGTGACGAATGAGGGAAAACACTGTATGCTTGCCAGGCATGTAAAACAGCTTGCATAAAGGATACTGTTTATTTAATTTGTTGTGGGGATTTTTTATCTGACAGAAACCAGGTGCGCTGCTGACAAAGGTGCAACCTGTCAATAACCAAAGTAAATAAACCAAAAAAGTGTTCCCCCCAATAATGTGTTAAGCTTAATTATTAGGCAAAAGATTATTATAAGTGCTCATGAATAAGGCAAATTGGTAGTAATGGCAGTCACTCATTATATAGCTGGTCCAGTTTCAGTCCTGTCCTCTCAGAGGAAAACTTATGGGATGAACTTGGCAAGCTCAGAGCAGCTCCAGGTGTTGTAGAAAATGAAAAGATGAGGGAGAATGCATCTTGTTTCTATACCGGCTCAGTTGTCTGAAAATGTCTCAATAACTTTATTTGTATCTTAAAATTATATTCATTCTTTTTGACCTTTATTTCTCCTTACTAATAGTGCCTTAATAATTAGCCAGACCTGTCTGTGCTACTGTCCTTTTTAACATCTGTGCCCAGTACTTTACTACAGGTGGGATCCTCAAACTGGTCTTACACAACTTTTTCTGAGGTGTGGCTCCTCCCTAAGTCTTCACTTGTTGTTTTTTTCTAATCATGTGCTCAGACCAAAATACAGTGAGTCGACACTCTCCCATCCTAATCTGTTGCACTTGAATCCTCTTGTAGATGGCTGGTTCCTCCCCTCATCCATCTATAACAAATGACCTGCTCCATTCTGTTGTCCACAGAATTTCCCAAATACAAAACTGAATTGTGGACAACCACACGTCCAGTGCTGAAAACAAACCTGGTCTGCTCCAAACTTCAGGGGAACAATTTTGCTTTGTAGCCCACAAAATATTTTCCAGATATTTTTTTCAAGCAGGAGCAAGTACAACTAAATAACATTATGAAGAAAACATGTCTCTAATATGAAGCGAGAAATATCATGAGCTGTCACTTAAGAGTCACCTGGTACTAGTAAAGAGTGCCATTAAAAATTGTTAGAGTAGCCACATACCTCCCACCTTCATTTAAGACTCAGAATTTTTTTTATTCTCCATTTTTTATTTAACCACTGGATGTGTGGTTAAATTTGACCTGAAAACCAAAAATTAAACCAAATGCCAGCTGAAGAAAATTAAAGCATTTTATGTTGAACTTGCTCATACAGTAGTTAAAAGGCTACTCTATAATATAATTTTAGTGAAAATACACTACTAATCAAATAAATTATCTTATAGGGAAATCATATACTCTCATTTTAGAACTTGGATTTAGAAGATAACTAGGCTAAAAGTCCATTTGCTGCTTTCTAAATATCTGCATTCTTGGGATGTGGTGGCGCTGCGGGCTAAACCGCAGAAGCCTGTGCTGCAGGGTCAGAAGACCAGCAGTCGTAAGATCGAATCCACACGACGGAGGGAGCTCCCATCACTTTGTCCCAGCTCCCGCCAACCTAGCGGTTCGAAAGCATGCAAATGCGAGTAGATAAATAGGGACCACCTCGGTGGGAAGGTAACAGCGTTCCGTGTCTAAGTCGCACTGGCCATGTGACCATGGAAGATTGTCTTCGGACAAAACGCTGGCTCTATGGCTTGGAAATGGGGATGAGCACCGCCCCCTAGAGTCGAACACAACTGGACAAAAATTGTCAAGGGGAATCTTTACCTTTACCTAAATATCTGCATTCTAGTTTGAACCTTCTCATTTTAGCCTCATATTAGATTAAGGATAGTTACCTACACAAATAGGACAAAACCACATTGTTTGCTTTGCAAAGCATCCAAATATTGGAAAATAATATATTAGTATGTTCTTCCACTGCCATTCTTAGTTTTCAAAAGTACTGATTGATTGATTGTTTATTTGATTGATTGGTTTGATTGATTGGTTGATTGAACTGGCAATTGACGCTTATAAGAGGATATCCAATAAACAGTTAAATGATCTGGCTTATTTCATTCCACACAATGAAGACTGATTTAATGGGAATTAATAAAAACAGTAGTGAATACTAATAGGACTGTGATCGTTTGTGAAGAAGGCAATGAAGGATTTTAAAAACAGATAGGGAAATAAAAAAGAGCAAAAATATCCACTCTTTGAAATTTCCCACCATTTTCCAATGCATGGTGCATACAAGTTTTCCTCTGCCCCTCAACTGTGGGTAGTGCTGTATTATTACCACAAAATGTTTCACAATGTAATATGCACTGCAATTTATTCTAAACATAAATATATACCAATTTATTCCAAAAAGACTGTGTGAACATTCTCTATCTATTATTAAAAGCATCAATGAAAGAAATTGACTGATTAGAAGTAGATGTAATTCTGCAATATTTATCATTATTACTGGTCAATATTAATCAGTTGGTCTGATTTAAACAATACTTCACAAGAATGCACAATGAAGAAAATGGAACTGGAAGCTCACCCGGTCAAACAGGTGGTCTTCACAGTTTGAAGCAGAATGGACTTATGGTGCAATTATATTACAGTTTAGTTTGTAGTCTGTGTTAGTTGTTAAGGTCAGACCTCCAGAATAAGCTTTCTTCTTCTACAGAAATTTATGAATGTATCATTCTGTAAAGATTTGCTGTCATATTCTTGACTGTTGACACTTCTGGATCATTGCTTAAGTAGCAAGGATAACAAAGAGTAACTGAGAAATACAAAGTGTAGACAAAACCTAACTGGGAAATAGGACAGCAGTTTTTATCTGGTTCTCCCCTAATCATCCTTAAACCTGGCAGATCTCATTTGCAAATAGCAATTCCTAGTTTTATTTCAGTTAGCAAATGAAACAATCTGTTCTAATACAGTATCTACACAAGAGTTTATGAGGGAAGAATCAAAGCAGAGTAAAAGCTGGATGGTCAGTGGTGCTCTCTAATAAAACTATCGGATGGGGAAAAGATCTGAACTGAGTGGGAACTTTTAGCTCCTTTACTTATAATTTTGACATGTCTGTCAAAATATGAGGCCTCAGGAAACTCAATTTTCCTAATAACAAAAAAAAAGGTTGGTAGATGAAACTAGACAGAACTGTTACTGTGGGTTACATGCAATTATCTACATTTTCTCTACTCTAAAGGTCTAGTCATCATTTGAAACCAAAATCATAGATATCTCACTTAAGTATACTTTGGAAGAAAGCACTGTCACCTGCAAGTTATCTGTGAACTCACAGGAATGCAGTTTAATCTAGCTTGCACACCTGATCTATCCTAGTGCTACAGCTCTTAGAAATACCATTTAAAGTGTGTCAGAACGGGTGTATGAAAATGCAAGAAAATGAATTAATGAAATAAAATGAAAATAGACAAAGAAGACAAACAAAATAACATAATTCTCAACTTGCATTCATGTACTCATCACTGCTGAACTGATGGCTAGGCATTATGTCAAGGATTCTGAGCACCCATGGGGGGCACTCGGAGAGACAGAACACTAGGTCCCAGAGGGATACGTTATCTGCCCTGCTTAAGAGCTATGTAGATTAATGCTTCTGGGCATTAGATCATCACAGACTCATATTAGATTTGGGAACATAAATGTACCCTCAATTGCTGTTTTATTCTTAAGTTCTCTCATGAGGAGGCGCATGGCTTCACATCTATGCTCAGGACACCATGCCAGCAGTGCTGCACATTCACCAGCACAACACAGAACTTACTGGGAAGAAGGGCCCTGGAAACTAGTACAAATTTAAAAAGGGGATCTTGAGCCAGGGGCATCTTTCAAATATACATTCCAAGGCAATCTTCTCTTTTGTTTTAATACGTACCCTTCTCTGGTACTGTCTATGGGAGATGCATGATGGTGTGCACTGGTGATGGCTGACTCAAGCATATGTTGCCTTGAAGGTACATCGAGAGGTGGTGACAGAAGACCAGGAGACAGTCCATTGTGATTAGTGCTGGAACCAGTGTACATGCCTAAGAAGGAAAGGGAACATTTGTCAGTGAAAAAGATTCTAGCCCCAAATGTGCAGATATTGTGTTAAACTCTCCTTACTAGAGATGTCTCAAATAAGATGAAGTAGAGGCTATGTTTCCTTTTCCTTCCTTCCTTCCTTTATCAGCCTGGGTTTGTCTAGAAAGAGATCTTTCTAGTAGCTCTTCTTGAATAAACTACTCCGTGTCAGCCAGAGAACAAGAGCCTCACACCCAAATCAAAGCATCTCCTTTACTTTACTTACACTAGGTTGATTTCTTAAAATTGCAGGTAGCTTTAGAAAAGACAAGTGGGACCTGCCACGGAAGGCTGAATTGCAGTTTCTGTCAATCAATCAGCCACCCCCCTCTCCATGGTATTCCACATTATCCCCATTTCCCCAGTAAGCCAGAGTTCCATGGTGTGCAGCATGCTTTGTCTTCATTGGGATTTTCTGGACCCGCCCTCTTTAGTCCCTACCCACCTACTCACCCAAATACCAATTTTTTAAACCTTGGGTTTTCATGAGCTAGCTTGTAACACCGCTCTTGTACATGGGTGATGTTAACAACAAAAGAAAAGTTGTACTAGATCACAACTGAGCCCTATCTAGTCCAGCATTCTTTTCACACAGTGACCAATAAGATGCTATGGGAATGCTACAGTCAGGGCATACATGCAAACGCACCCTCCTCCTCTCAGTCTTCAGTACTGCCGCTGCCACTTAGCTAACAGAGACAACTAGGAACCAGTGATAACCTTTTCCCTCCATTAATGTTTCCTATTCCCCTTTAAAAGTCTCTTTGTTGGTGAACAACATTACATATCGTGGAAGTAAACTCCCCAGTTTAATCAACAAGAACAGCAGGTAGTCCACCAGAAGCATGATGGGTGGAGCCAAGCCTGTGAAGAAAGTGATGGGAAGCTGATTTCAGAGTTAAAGAAAACATATAGAGTTCTATTTTTTAAGTATGTATAGATGCTCTCTGGAGCCTTCATATGAGCCACATCACTTCGGTTCCAGGAAGGAAAATGAATTCTTCAACTCTTAATTTTCTTGGCATTTTTATGAGGGTGAAGGAACATACTGAGAAAAAACGGGCAGAGCTGCAGGATGGGAAGAAGGGTGGGAGGTAGTAAAAGACCCAAAGACCAATGTAACCTGTTTGTATGCCAAGCTCTTTCCTGGTTTGGTGAATTTTGTCTGTTTGTTTTTACTGCAGTGCAGCTTCCTTTATATAGACCCCTCTACCTACTCAATAATGGCTCCATGAACTACCACTAACAGCTATCCCTAACACTTTGTGTTCATCTGCATCATGCTACTCTTGAGTTACAAACAGATTCTGTGCCAGTTTTCATCTGGCATACATATATGCCTACCAGGTAGGACAGGTACAGTTTTAGTGGCTGTGCACATTACCTTCTTGGCTCCAATAAAGAAATTATATTAAAATTAATAAGAAGTAAAGAGTATTGGTCTACTAAGTCACTTGGTCTTAAATGGAGCAGGTTGATGTCTTTACTTATTTGAAAAACCAGAAAAAAAATGGCTTCACTTCAAGTTAGGAATGTCATGAAATGTTATTGTATCTTTTATTCCTGGTTTGATATCCTTAATGATTTGACTTCCTCATTAACTTCAGTGACTGATATACTTGCACTTAAGCCTGTGTCCACATATCTATATTTTTATAAGCAGTGATCCAAACCACAAGAGCTATACTGTATTATGTGGAAGCCCCTCTGGGGAATATATGACAGCCTATTAGTAACAGTTGGAAAAATATTGTTCTATCACTTATTCTCTGCAGACACTATCACTGACTCCTTACCTCTGCTTTAGGTTATACATCAGAAATCTGTGTGGTTCCAGGGTGTTAGAATTTCCTTTTGGCACTAGTCAGAATGCTAAACTCATGGTATTGACAGCCAGATTGCGTTTTAAAAAGATGTAAGACATTATTGCTGAGCATCATATTGCTGCTACTTTATTTTATTATTTGAGTGAAGTACAGTTTGCATTAATAACTCATTTTGTAGGAGAAAAAAAGAATTCAAATTTTTAGATTCTTGAACTTTATAACCAGAATCCTCCTGGTATTCACATAAGGTTTACATAAGTTGCTGTGCCTAGTTCTGGCCAATTGACACAGTGCCAGAGAATGTATTGGTCATATGCCTGGTTATGCACCCAATTGCGCAGCTGAGATGTGCCCTAGCAAGTTATACAAACCTTATGTGAACACTAGAAGGTTTCCAGCCTATAGGTTTTCCTGAATTAACATGGCTAAGAACAGGATTCTGATTACTTAGTGCTTTGTAATCTCATTAACCAGCTCACATTTAGAGTTCATCTGCTATGCACGCATGGAGGCCAACAATGTAGCAATTGAGACCGGGTGGGACATGCATTGCTGGCTATACATGCTTGCAAAATACAAACCCTGAACAGAATTTAAATACTTGAAAAGTGACTATTTTGGATAAATGAGAAGACATATTGATGTTGAGTACATGAAATGAAATCCTATGATTTAGAGTTTCAATCAGCAAAAAAGAAACGATACTGGGATCAAATGGATTCACTTGGGATTTTAGAACAAACAAAAAAAATCTCCACATTTAAATCGTCCAGCTGTGTTCAGATCTAGTTCCAATACATTCATCACATTAATAGACCTACAATGCTAAGTCATATCAGTGAATTCTTAGGATATTTCAGCATGACTAAGAAGGCAATGCCCAACTGGCTTCCAACCTTTCACCACAACACTGTTGAGATCTTACTTTGATGTGAGTTTACTACCAAAATCACTTGCAAGCCAGAGATTTTGTGTTAGTGAGCTATGCTAAAATTTTATTCTGTGTGAGTCTATGGTAAAACTTTATATTTATAGGTGAGCTATAAATAACTACTCAGTTGTAATTGTGACAGGAGCGAGGTATCTAGTTGTCTCGTGTGCTCCCAGAGGCATCTGGTGGGGCGACTATGAGATACAGGAAGCTGGACTAGATGGGCCCTTGGCCTGATCCAGCAGGGCTCTTCCCTATGTTCTTATATAATTCATTTCCTCCTGTAAAGAACATACAGTTATATTATGACTGTTGAAGGTTTTATTTGTGATAAAATTATAACTTTTATCGTTGTGGGGTTGTGTCTTCACCCTATGATGGAAGAAGGATATACAGTGGGGTCTTCACTTGAGAACTTAATCCATATTGGAAAGCGGTTCTCAAGTCAAAAAGTCTGTAAGTCAAGCCGTCTGTAAGTCAAGGGTCCACTGTAATAGGGTTCAAGTGCTGAATGGGAAGAGAGTGTTTTTTATCATTGGCTAAAGATTCACAACACTCTGGTGTGTGTGTGTGTGTGTATTTTAAATTTGTAATTAAAACAATAACTACTTTGCGTGAGCTTCAAACTGTAACAGTAATATTTTTTATTTTAAAGACAACTTCCTAAGCTCTGATTTGGAGACTGGGATAGGATCTAAATAACCCAACTACAGTATACTAAAGTAAAATCAAGTAAAGTTGCTAGCAGATTAGGCATACCATCAACAGTATGATGTATGAGAAGCAGACAGCAAGATCAGGGCTACAAAATTTCATGATCTAGTTATCTTCTGTAGGTGGGTGAGTGGGTTGCAAACCAAGCACAAAAGCATCTCTTGGAGATATTTCACATTCTTATTAGACATGGTATTCATTTTTTTCATTTTCAAAGTACAATTTTCTTCAAAATTAAATGCAGTAAAGTTCCTAATGTCAACAGGTTGACCTCCTCCTATTAAACTGTAAGAAATTAAAGCTAAGCGAATACAATCTAACCCTTTTGCCTTGATACACGGGGGTAATCTGTGCATGGAAACACATTTCTATGCATATATTACTTAAATGAATAAGCACATGAAAATTCTGAACTATATTCCAGTATGAGATAACATGCAACAATTTTCATAATTTCCAGTAAGACAGACTCTAGTATTTGTGAGATGCTGTCCACTAGTGGAATGAATTGATTTTGCATCATCATCTTAATTTATTTGTAAACTATTTAAATACTGTAAGTATAAACTACTTAATGGGTGTAATCAAATGAGTACTGCATAAAGAAAATAAATTATTTCTTTTGGACAATTATACATTGCAGGATAAAAAAAAACAAGATTTTGCAGAGGGCTGTTAGCTTACTACAATGCATGATTGCCATTATTTTAAAATATGTTCAGTTAGTTCTCCAGCTCTTATTTTGTATTTACAAGTAATAGGTGGGATTTTTCTCCCACCTACTTGAGCTGTTCTCCTGGTTAACATTATATTCTGTCTTACTGTGATTAATTCAGGAAGTCACTGGGCCACATGTTACCTTACAAATCTTGCTCAGAAGCATGAGAAATTATTGCATCAGCTACTCTTGTTACATAATTTTTGAATCATCTTTTATGTAGTCCTCAATTAATAGCAGCTAATTCAAATTTCTGAATTTTAATACTCAGAACACCTACATTCTTGCATATGAGTGTATGTGTACTGTGGGGATTTTGTAGTTTAGAGCTCCGCTATTTTCCCACAGTGTACTGTACTGTTCTAGTATTATAAAACAGAATTAAATATATGTAAATCAAATATGTTGCTTTAAGCTGCTTTCATGCTGTCATAAAACATATATTCCTTGGTAAATATGTCATAGACCTGTTCCTTAACAGCTGTCCCTTTTGTGTAACAGATGTTTGGCAACACAACTTGCGTAGTGCTCAGGAAAATGTGTAGCATTTAATATTTAAACACATACCAAGTTTGATATGGGTACCCACTCTACAGAACTCCAGATTCCTGTAGCAGCATATACCTGTGTAAGGAAGAGACAGGAGTATAAGGAAGACACAGGAATCCTTCTCAGGTATAAATGTGCATACAGAATAATTGTGAATGAGTGAGTGGAGGGTAGCATCACACTGATGGCTTAACGCCTCCACCAAGACATGGAAAAAGAGCTGCT